CACAAGAGCGTCCCACAAGAGTGTCCTACAAGACTGTCCCATAAGAGTATCCTACAAGAGTGTCCCACAAGAGTGTCCCACAAGAGTGTCCCACAGAGTGTCCCACAAGAGTGTCCTACAAGAGTGTCCCACAAGAGTGTCCCACAAGAGTGACCCACAAGAGTGTCCTACAAGAGTGTCCTACAAGAGTGTCCCAGAAGAGTGTCCCACAAGAGTGTCCTACAAGAGTGTCATTTGGACATATTAGTTTTTCGAACGTGTTTGCATTCGGGTTCGTGGGTTCCATCTTGTTTGTTTTTGGGTGTGCACGGATTCACCGGTTGTTTGGGGTGAGACGTGCACATGGGACTTGGGCGGCGTATGCATGACGCTGTCAACAACGGGATACGCTGTCATCGGTTTCATGACGGTTGGATGACCGACTTCACAACATTGTCATTGGATGATCATGTGATCTCCTTCGGAGATGGGCCAAGAGAGCATTTTTGATAGTTCCTCCAGTTTTGTCCAAATGAAATTGAGGGGGGGAGGGTGACCACCTCCCCCCCCCCTTGCGAGTAAACAGAGGGGGAGGGTGACCACCTCCCCCCCTCCTTCGTTGAAAAGGGGGGGAGGGTGACCCCGCCCCCCCCTAGCGACCAGGGAAGGGAAGGTGACCATTGGCGGCGGCGTGTTCGGTTGGTTGGTTGCTGCTGGCTGGCTTGTTGCTTTGGTTGGTTGGTTGGTTAGAATGTTTTTTGCCGCAGTGAGTTCACCTTAAAATGTTGATTTCGTGGCAGGCGCGGGCATTGGAGATGATGTGCAGCGCCCCCCCAGCAGACATTAGCTACAAATAGAACAAATGCTTGCCACGAAGAACATGATAATTTGGTTGGTTGGTGAAGGAGGGGGGGTGGTGACCCTAAGAGAAGAAGTCTCGAGCAGGGGGGTGACCCTAGGAGAAAAGGCCTCACCGGAGGGGGGGTGGTGGTGACCCTCCCCCCCCTTGGTCGGGTCGGTGGAGGGGGGGGGGGGGTCACCCTCCCCCCCATGATTTGTTTCGGACGCAAAGTGAGGAATTCTCGCATTTTTCGCCCTTTGGTTCATTTAACGCATCCAAAACCATGAAAGGGTCCACGATTTCCGAGTTCCAAACGTGCGTGTTAACTTGTTTTTCGACCTCGTACTTCTTACCGTTTTACACAGGTAGCACTGGACAATTTCTTTGTCCTTGTCTGTCATTAAACATTGGTCCATTGCACTGGGTTTGCGGCAAAGGGCCAATGAGTTCCGCAGGTTTGCATCGCTCGATCCGTGCAGTCACGTTGTTGAGCCTTCGAGGCCCGTTCCAAGACCTGTTAGAGACTTTTGGAGATGGTTGGGCCTTACTGCAGAAGATTCGTTTTACTCAGGCATTTTTGCATTGCATTCAAGCGAGGTGGCGCAGCACGTACTCCATCCCAAGTGTTCCTGTGCACCGGCCGAGCTGGTGCATAGAGTTGGCCATCATGATGGTGTCCTGTTTCTCCGTCTTTCGGTCTCCTTGGGTCTCTCCTAGAACTAGAGCCCTGGTGGCCCTACTTGTGACTCTTAGATACGGAAGGGTTATTGCTTGGATGGTTGTTCAAGGGGCGAGCTGTCGCTTGTACACTTGAAATTTGGGTCGCTTGCGCACTTGAAATTATGGTCGCTTGTACACTTGACATTTGAGCACTGTCCGAACATGTCGTCACCAAACGCTTTAGGTTGGTCGGTCTTACACTGAACATACATTGAAAACCGATGAGGAAAACCCAAGACCGAGGTCTTCCATTGAGCATACATTGAAAACCGATGAGAGACCGATGCCTCTGTATCATACATCGGATAAGTACTACTACTACTACTACTACTACTACTACTACCACCAATAGTACTGCCACTACTAGTAGTGCATGCCACTACTACTACTGCCACTACTGCTACTACTACTACTACTACTACGACGCTTACTACGGAATAGAACCCTGCGTGCGTGTGTGTGTAAAGATGTTGACCTTGTCCAACTTGGCAACTTTTTCAGCACTTCTGAGTCCCTTTGTATGGTTGGCAACTGCAACCCCCCCCACCCCACCCCCCCACCCCACAACTGAGTTTGTATGGCAGAAGTATGAAGTGAAAGGCAATCAAAACGTGAGTGCGTGCGTGTGTGTGTAAAGATGTTGACCTTGTCCAACGTGGCAACTTTTTCAGCACTTCTGAGTCCCTTTGTATGGTTGGCAACTGCAAAC